TGTGTGTGTGTGTGCTTGAAAAGAATGTGTATTCTGTAATTATTGTGTAGATATATATTGCATATATCTACAAGGTCTAAATAATCTACAATGTTTTTCAAGTCCTCTGTAGTCTTATTCATCTTTAGTCCGGTTGATCCAAATATTATTTAAAGTGGGCACTGAAATCTCCTATGATTATTGTATTATTTTTTATTTTTCCCTTCAATCCTATCAATGTTTCCTTCATATATTTTGGTGTTCTGCTGTTAGGTGCATATATATTTATAATTGTTATAACTTCCTAGTAAGTTGACCTTTTGTCATTATATAATGTTCTTCTTTGTCTGTTGTACTAGTTTTTGACAAAAAGTATATTTTGTCTAATATAAGTATGGCCACACCTGCTATCTTCTGTCTACCATTTGCATGGAATATATTTTTTCATCCTTCCACTTTCAGCTTAGGCATATCCTGACATCTAAAATGAGTCTTGGGCCCTGTTTTTTCTTAATCCATTCAGCTATGCTATTGCTTTTTATTGAAGAATTTAATCCATTGATGTTAAAGTGATTACTATAGAGAAGGACGTACTATTACCATCTCATTGTTTTCTGTATATCTGGTAATTATTTTGACCCTCTTTTTCTCTTTTGCTGACTTTCTTTGTGTTTCCCTGATTTTTGTTTATTAGTGATATACTTGGATTCTCTTTTTATTTTCCTTTGTGCAACTTCTATAGGTAATTTTGTTGTTGTTACCACAGGGTTATATAATACATCTCATGGTTATAACAATCTATTTTAAACTGATAAGTTCAGTTGCATATAAAAATTTTTATTCCTTTATATCTCCTCCCCATGTTTTATTGATGTCAATACATTTTTATATTTTGTATCCATTAACATAGTTTTACAGTTAGTTATTTTTTAAGCTTTTATCACTTAAATTTTATTCCAGAATTTATGTATCAATATTACAGTATTATAGGATTTTGTATTTGCTTATATATTTATCTTTACCAGAGTTGGGTACTTTCCCCTAGTCTTGCTGACCTGAGCCAATCTCCTGTCTCCGGTGCTGCAAAAAGCAGCTGAGCTCTAACCTTCCAGGGTCCCCAGGTACTGAAAGTATGGTGGTGCCCAGGCAGTGATCAGAGTCAGGTAAGACAAATACCAGTCCATCAGGCAGCCCCACAAAAGCCAGAACACTGGACACATTCCACTCTTCTCTCTCCCTTCCAAGAGAGAAGCTAAAAATTGGACTTTTCCTCCAATCCTACCAAGCTGAACAAGCTTAGGGGAAGGGCTGCTGTAGTTATGAAATTTCTTTCTTCCCTGTTTCAATATGGCTATTCTTGACTTTGAACTTGTGACTTCTAATTGGTTTCTGGAGCTCTCATAAAGGCCCTTTGGCGCATATACTATTGTTAAGTCAGTGTTTGGAGGGCAGGAAACAAGGACGAGTGCTTCCCATTCTGCTATCCTGCAGATGTCACTCCTGAAGAATGTTTTAAATGTTTATTTGCATGTAGTTTTCCTCATTTGTAATAAAATGCTAATATTCTTATTCATTTCATACTGGAGTGTTAGACTCTTTATGATTGATTTACAGAAGGCATTTCTATACTTGTTTTATAGGTTGCAGATATCTTCCAAGTCTGTGGCTGGTCTTTTCATTTGTTAATAGTCTCTGTGTTTGTGCATGTGTTTTAGTTTGTTTCTGTTTATCCTCAGCTGAGTTTTAAAACAATCATCAACTTGCCCTGGTCAGGTAGTTCAGTCGGTTGGAGCATCGTCCCATGCACCAAAAGGTTGCTGGTTTGATTCCTGGTCAGAGCACATAGTTAGATTGCAGGTTCAATCCCTGGTCAGGGTGCATGCAGGTGGCAACCAATAGATGTTACTCTCTCACATTAACGTTTCTCTCTCTCCCCCACTTCCTCTCTCTCTAAAATCAATAAAACATATCCTTGGATGAGGATAATAAAATAAATAAAAAGTCATCAACTTGACATATTTTGGGATTTGGTATAGGGCATGCTTACAAATTGATTTCTATTGATTTTTCTCAAGTTCCTTTTAATAAATTTTTTATTTTATTACTCAAAGACTCATTATTCAACATTCACCACAAGGCTGAATCAAAGTCCTTACCTGATAAATAAATGTGTAAATGCTTTCCATGCACCATATGAGTTCATCTTATTATTTTTAGGTATTCTTTATATCACATAAAATGCACATATTTAAAATGTACAATCCAAAGATTTTCAATAAATTATTGAGTTGGACAACCATCATTATCATCTACTTTTAGAACATTTCCATCACCTCAAGATCTTTTGTGTTCATTTGCAGAAAATCCCTGTTCCTACCTCTAGCCCTAGGCAACAACTGATCTACTTTCTCTCCATATATAGATTTGCTTATTCTGGACATTTTAGAGAACTTGGAAACATAGAATGCGTGTTCTTTTATGACTGGCTTCCTTCACTAAGCATGTTTTTGAGGTTCACACATGCTGCAGCATGAGTCAGTGGCTTGTTTGTTTTTCTTAGGAATAATATTCTATTGTATGGACATATCGTACTTTGTTTATCCATTCATAAGTTGATGGACATTTGGGTTGCTCCCACTTTTTTTTTTTGTCTATCATGAATAATGCTGCTATAAACATTTATATATAAGTATTCATGTTCTTCAAGTAAGCCATTTGTATACATTTTTTGGTGACATGTATTCCAGTCTTTTGCCAATTTTTTAACTGGGTTGTCTTATTACTGAGTTCTTTATATATTCTGGATTTGAGCCCTTTATCAGATGTATGATTTAATAATATCGTCTCAGTCTATGACTTGTCTTTTCATTTTTCAATGGTAACAGATAATTTTTTATTTGTTGACCCATCCAGTTTTTGATGGTCCTTTGGATTGTTTTTGGTTTTGAACTATTACAACTAAAGCAGCTATAAATATTTATACATAAATATTTGTGAATACCTATGTTTTCATTTGTCATGAGTAAAGACTCAAGAATGGAATCGGTGGGTCATATGGTAAGTTTACATTTAATTTTTTACTAAACTACCATACTTTTTACAAAAATGGTTATACTATTTCACATTCTCACAAACAGTTTATGAAAGATCCAGCAATTCCATATCCTCTACAACACATGCTAATGTGTCTTAAATTTTAGTCACTTGAGGGAGTTTATAGTGGTATTACATTTGTTTCTTCTTCAAGTTTAATTTCTTTTATCACAGTAAACATATATTATTTTTAACCATTTATAAGTGGCAACCATTTAGTGGCATTAAATACATTCACAGGCTGGGTATCCACCACCAACATCTATACATAAAGCTTTTCCTCATCCCCAACATAAACTAAGTACTCATTAAACAAATACTCCACTCCCTCCAGACACTGATAACCTCTATTCTGCTTTCTTTCTCTATTAATTTGCCTATTCTAGGCACCTCATATAAGTGGAATCATATAATATTTGTCCTTTTGTGTCTGGCTTATTTCACTAAGCATGTTTTCAAAGTCCATCAATGTTCTTGTATATATAAAAATGTTATTATTTTTTTATGGCTGAATAGTATTATATTGTACTTGTATACTACATTTTGTTTCTCTGTTTATCTGTTGAGAGGCACTAGGGTTGTTTCCACCTTTCGGCTATTGTGAAAAATGCTGCTATAAACTTGGTGTACTGATTGATATCTGTTTAAGTCCCTGCTTTCAAGTTTTCTGACTATATACGTAGGAGTAGAATTGCTGTGCTTTATGATAGTCCTGTGTTTAACTTTTTGAGGAACTGTTAAACTGTTTTCCACAGTGACTGCACCTTTTTCCACTCCCACCAGCAGTACACAAGGGCTGTACTTGCCCCACGTTTTCAACAAGATTTGTTAGTTTTCATTTTTGTCTGTTTTATAAATTACAGCTTTCCTCGTAGGTGTAATGTGGTATCCCATTGTGATTTCGATTGGCATCTCCCTAATAATTACTGATGTTGAGCATCTTTTCATGTGTTTTTTGCCAGTTGTACATATTCTTTAGAGAAATATCTAGTCAAGGTTCTTGGCCATTTTTTAATTTAATTTTTTGTTACTAACTTTGAGGAATTCTTTACATATTCTGGATATTTATATCTTATCATACATATGATTTCAACCTATTAATTCAGTAGGTTGTCTTTTTGCTTTCTTGACAGTATCTTAGTATTCAGAGAAGTTCTTAATTTGAATGAAGTCCAATTTATCTAGCTTTTTTTATTGTTGTGCTTTTGGTGTCATCTCCAAAACAATCACTGCCAAATCCAATATAATGAAGATTTCCTCAGGTTTTCATCTAAGAATTTTATAGCTTACTTTAAGGTTAGATGCAAAAGATTTGGAAAGTCTGACAGCAAACACCACTTCTGACGGAGCTTTAATTGGCAGTAGCTTTACAAAAAAAAAATCACAACATGCCTTGGTCCCTATATTCTCTTAGTTAATGACCTGTTAAAAATGAAATGCTCACCAATGAAAACAACTTTGAATTCTTTCTCATAGTGAAGAAACATTTTATAATGTGATTAATTGCTTTTTAATTTGTCTGGCTCTGACTTGTTTAGTCTAAAGTTTGGAATATTGTTTCTTAAAATGGGTCATACAGGTCATATATGCACATCAAATATCTGTTGCCTTGTAAACATCCTGATTGTGTGTGAATAATACATATACACACAGAGCTGAGCACTCTTTTCGTGTTCCCTCTTCAATGGGAGCATAAGAGACTTTGCATGACTTATTATTGCCTTATGAGAGTTGAGAGAATAGTGATTAAAAAAGAAAGTTTGATAAAACTCACCAATTTTCCATGTATCCCACTAAAATAATCTTTCCACACAGGATATAACCATAATTATGAACATGCATTTCCTAAGAATTAAAAATTTTTTCTCTCATAATCAAACTGATACATTTTGAAATGTGAGAAGAGCGATGTTTAGTTAGACACCTACCGTCTTTGAGTGTTAAATCCATTAAGATGATTCTCTCTGAGTTCAGACACTAATGATAAAACCATCTGTAAAACAAAATCAGTTGCAGGTTAACTCACACTGCAAACAGGATGACATCAGTCCTGTTTTCTTGGTGTGAGTGGTATTTCCGTTGAGATTCCCTACCTTCCTCCACCAGCACTCTCCTTGTTTTACTTTGTCAAAGTGAAAAGAACTAGTGACAAGTTACACTTACTAATAATCTGGATTTTATGTTTACTGTCTGTTAAGCAAATGAACAACAGACAGAACATTAATTTCCTAAGAATTAAAATGAAACTCATTAAAAATAAAAACCATGTTAAAGTTACTTTATTTTTTCTTTCTTAATTTAATTTCTATTTTTAAACATGTTATTCATGTATAAAGCATCCAAAAGACCAGCATAGTTAACAAACATTTAAAATTTTTCTAACAGTTTTTAGAAGAGCTTTTTGTTAAGATCAAATTTAAAATTTATTGAATTCAGCTAAAATTTTAAGGCAGAATAATACATAGCTTTAATACTAAGATGTAAATATATAATAGTATTTTATAAGGTTGCTATTAAGTTTTTTGCTTAACACAAAATTTCTACGAAGTTATTTTAAATACAAAATTTGTCTAACAATAAAAGGCTGTATTTACATTGATTAAGAAAATTTCTTCTCCTAAAAATCTTTAAGAGAATAAATGAAATATGTTAAATGACAGAGAAGGTGGTTGATTTAGAATAACCTCTCCTGGTTTCCTTCTTCTTTCCCATAATCTCCTATCTCACATTTCTTCCTTATATGGTCTTAAGTCCACCCAATGTCAAAAGAGATAAATATAGAAAAGTTAAACATCTCTTCTGAAGAAGTGAAATAATTCCATATATTCTTTTTTGCTGATGATATATTAACCAATGAAAATTTCAATACTAATAAATTAAAAATACTCACATTTTTTAGCAAACCAGGATAGTAATCTGCAGTTGCATACCCAAGACTTTGAGTACAAAGACCAACTTCTTTTATATCAAATCTGAATGTTGAAAGCATATAAGATAACAACCCCTAAAAAACATAAATAGAAAGATAAAAAGGTCTTAAACGTGAATGTAAGTGCCTTTTATCTTTAATGTTTAGAATCTGCGTCATTTGTAAATGAGATGGTCTCTATGAAACCAGTAATTTTAACTTGTCCAAATACCCAGTTCACTTTGATTCAAGTTATAAAAAAGAAATAAGTTAGTATTAAAATTATTACATTCAAAGTAAGACAATTTAAAAAAATGTTAGTGAAACAAAAATATATAATGAATGAACAGTGCTTTAACCATATTAAGAATGTAATCTTTATTGATTTTAAACTCAGCAAAATAATTTTATCAGAATAGATATAATAATCAAATGACAAAGAATACACATTAATCACTAAGGAAAGAAAAGATTATATGAAAAATAGTGCAGCAAAAACTATTTGAAAAAAATTAGACTCTTACCTTATGTTACTCATCAAAATATACTTGAATGTAAATCCAAGAGATCAATGTAAAAATGAAATGAAATAATAAACATGAAGAAAATAGTGCTTTTCACATGTCTACATGGGGAAGCACTTTGTAAACTGAAAATCAAAGAAGCAAATAATTGATTATTCTAAATAAAAATAAAACCTGTTTTGTTTTGTTTTTTTTATCCTCACCCGAGGATATTTTTCCATTTTTTGTTCAGATAGAGTAGGAAGGAGAGAGAGAGAGAAACATCGACGTGAAGGGACACATCGAGTGGCTGCCACCCGCACGACCAACCAGGGCCGGGGACAAACTGCAACCGAAGTACGTGCCCTTAGCGGGAACCGAACCTGGGTCTCTCCGGACCGTAGGCCGACTCTCTAACCGCTGAGCCAAACTGGCCAGGGCTGGAGAGTTTTTTGGTTTTTTTTTTTTATCCTGTTTTTCATGAAATAAGTATAAACTAGGAAGAATACTGACTACAAATATACAGATCATGTAATCAAATTAATGTGCAAAATACCAAATGACAAACACTGAGCATAAAAAAATTAGTATGAACAGATAACTCATAAGAGAAAATACAAATACCCAAGAAATATGAATAAATGTTCACCCTCATAATTAAAACAGGTACATTTATACATCAACATACCATTTTTTCACTTAATGAATTAAAAATTTCACAGACGTAAATACTTAATACTAATCTGGGTTCTCTGAAACAGGTGCTCTGTGTGAGCTGTGGAAAGAATATAAAGGAGTATCCACACATCAATGCTGCTATGAACCACACTAAGGCACCTACAAAAAGTATGAGTGGACGTAACAGTCTACAACGCATCCTCAAGCTCAGACTGCCAGGGCTATGTCTACCCAGTGGTTTGTAACCTGAACAAAGATGCCTTATATATTGATAGAGGACTGCCTTAAAGAAAGCAATTTGAGACTATATTATAAGGCTTTAAACGCATTCAGAACTTTTAATATATCTGGCTTACTCTTAAGGAAGTAAATCCAAATACAACAAAGGGAATTATGCTCAAAGATGTTCATTACAGTGTTATTTCTCATGAGCAATGTCTAACAGCAGGGAATGACTAATTTACAGTGTCTCACCCAGGGGCTTATTGTAAGCCATTAAAATGTCTATGAAAAATTTATAACACCATTTGAAATGGTTATATTATCATGTTAAATGAAGAAAGGAAGATATAAAATTTTATACCCTTAAATGATTACATCAAAAAGATGGTAGCAGGCTGGACTGGAATGAAGGTGAGTGAGAGTGTGAGCAAGTGTGAGAGAGAATGTGAGTGGATGTGAGTGTGGATGAGCAACCTTCACCAGTGCAGAAACGTGGGGCAGAGGGTTCCAGTGCTATGGATGGGGAGCAGCCGGCTACCGCAGTAAACAGCTTGTCAGGGTGCTTCTCCTTGAGCAGGTGGAAGGCCCCGTCATTTTGGAAGATCCACTGGTCTTCTCTGGGAGGAGGTGGTAAGGAGCAGCTAGAGCCCAGTGACATGAGTCCACCAGTGCACCTTGCACCATCAGACCAGTAGACTCTCCACTGTGTCAACAGGTCCAAAGCACAACAGCAACACTGTCAAGGTGCTTGCTCCCCGAAGCAACTAGCCAGGAGCCAAGCACCATTCCCTACAGCAGCAGCAGTAGTGCCAGCACCATCCACCACTGTAGCAGCAATAGCTCCAGGTTGGGAGCACAGCAACACCCCCAAGAGCAGCAGCCTGATGGGAACTGAGCACCACCCCCAGGAGCAATAGCACCAGCTTGGGAACCCAGTACATTCCCTGTCAGCAGCAGTGACTGGCTCAGGAGTGGAGCCCCACCCCCAACAACAGCTGAGGCTCCAGAGCTGAGACACACCGCCAGCAGCAGAGGCTCCAGAGCAGCAGGGCAGCTCAGCAGCTGAGATCCATCCATAGCAGCATCAGCTGAGGCTGATCAGGAGTGGTGCCCCAGCCCAAGCAGCAGCAAGGCTCGGGCAGCGGAGACCAATCCCTGACAACTGCAGCAGCGGATTTGGAGTAGAACCCTCCCCCAGCAGCAGCAAATTCCTGGGAGTTGAGCATCCTCAGCCCCTAACAGCAACAGAGGATTGAGAGCTGAAAGCACCCAGCAGCAGTAGCCATGCAAACCGGGAGCTGACTCTCCCCCAGCAGTAGCAGCAGCAATGATTGATCAGGAGCTGAGCCCCACCAGGCAGCAGAGCACCCCAGCAGCACACCAGCTGGACCCACTCACTCCAGGAAAACCTACCACAACAGACCAATACCAGCAGCCACTTGGCAATCCTCCAGGACCCACAGCAGGCAAGAAGTGCATGGCAAGAACAGTCTGGGAGGCATAGTAGTCTTAATTGATAGAGACCAAGCTGCCTCCCATCCCAACATTCCTCACTGGCCTGGAACTAACAGATTGCTAAAACGGTGAAACAAAAAAACAACCCCCAAATGAAAGAAAAGGAGTAATCACCGGAAAAGAAATGACATGAAATAGAAGGAAGCAATTTGTCAGATAAAGAATTCAAAGCAATGATTTTTAGGGTGCGAGAACTACAAGCAACTTAATTATAAAGAGCTCAGTGGGAACCACATTAGCATAAAAAAAGAGGTATAAGCTATGAATAAAAATCAAGTGAAAATAATGACATAGCTGATATAAAAAAATAACTTGGAAGGAATATGATAGTAGATTAGAAGAAGTTGAAGACTGAATCAGTGAGTTAGAAGATAGAAAAAAACACCCAAATAGAGCAGCAAATGGGAAAAAAAATTAAAAAGCAGGAGAGCCCTGGCCGGTTTGGCTCAGTGGTTAGAGCGTCAGCCTGCGGTCCTGAGAGACCTGGGTTCGGTTCCCGCTAAGAGCGCGTACCTCGGTTGCAGTTTGTCCCCGGCCCTGGTCGGTTGTGCGGGTGGCAGCCACTCGATGTGTTCCTTTCACATCGATGTTTCTCTCTCTCTCTGTGTTCCTCTCTCTCCCTCCCACTCTACCTGAACAAAAAAAAATGGAAAGATGTCCTCGGGTGAGGATTAAAAAAAATAAAAAATAAAAAAAAAATAAAAAGCAGGAGAGTTTAAGGGAGCTTTGGGACAATATGAAACATAACATTCGCATCATAGGGGTACCAGAAGGAGAAGAATTGGAGAAAGGAATAGAGAACCTGTTTGAAGAAATGATAGAAACTTCCCTAATTTGATGAAGGAAAAAGTCACACAAGTCCAGGAATCACAGCGAATCCCAAGCAAGATGAAACCAAAAGACTCACAGCTAGATACATCATAATTAAAATGGCAAACACTGAAGACAAAGAAAGAATCTTAAAGGAAGCAAGAGAGAAACAGAAAGTTACCTACAAGGGAACTCCCATTAGAATGTCAGTTGATTTCTCAATAGAACCACTGCAGGCTAGAAGGGAGTGGGATGAAGTATACAAAGTGAAAGGCAAGGGTCTGAATCCAAGACTACTCTATCCAGCAAGGCTATCATTCAAAATTGAAAGTGAAATAAAGAGCTTCACAGACAAAAGGAAAAAGCTAAATAAATTTACCACCACCAAACCAGCACTGCAAGAAATGGAAAAGGGACTGTTGTAACAACAGGAAGAAATAGAGAGAGAGGAACACAAGCCTAAAATAAAAATGGCAAATAATAAGTATCTATCAATAATAATTTTAAGTGTAAGTGGCTTAAGTGCTCCAATCAAACGACATAGGGTAGCTGACTAGATAAGGAAACATGACCTATATTTATGCTGTCTACAAGAGACCCACCTCACAACAAAAGACTCACACAGGATGAAAGTGAAGGGAGGGAAACAAATTTCCAGGCAAATGGAAATGAAAAAAAAAATCTGGTATAGCAATACTTATATCTGATAAGATAGACTTCAAAACGAGGGCCATAATAAGAGACAAAGAAGGTCACAATATAATATTAAAGGGATCAACCCAACAAGAGAATAACCCTGGTAAACATATATGCACCAAATATAGGAGCACCACATTATATTTTAAAAAGTCTGGAGGGCTTCAAGGGAGAGATCAATAGCAATACAATCACAGTGGATGATTTTAACACCCCACTGACACCACTGGATTGATCTTCTAGACAAAAAATTAACAAAAAAACAGAGTTCTTAAATGATGAACTAGATCAGTCGGACTTACAGAACATTTCATCCCAAAACTGCAGAATTTACATTCTTCTCAAGTGCACATGGGACATTCTCAAAGATAGACCACATGTTAGGACACAAAGTAAATCTGTAAAAATTCAAGAAGACTGAAATTATATCAAGCATCTTCTCAGATCCCAAAGGCATGAAACTAGAAATCAATTACAATAAAAACACTCAAAAACATTCAAACACATTCAAACACATGGAGTCTAAATAGCATGTTATTAAACAACAAATGGGTTACCAATGAGATCAAGAAAGAAATAAAAAAAACTTCCTGGAAACTAATGAAAATGAACACACACAATACAAAATCTATGGGACACAGCAGCAGCAGTCCTACGAGGGAAGGTCTGCCT